CCCCTGCAGCTACTCCCCACTCCCACAGCTACCCCACGCCCCTGCAGCTACTCCCCACTCCCACAGCTACCCCACGCCCCTGCAGCTACACCCCACTCCCACAGCTACCCCACGCCCCTGCAGCTACACCCCACTCCCACAGGTACCCCACGCCCCTGCAGCTACACCCCACTCCCACAGGTACTCCACACCCCTCCACGCTGTCCTCTGCATAGCCCCACCAGGCCCTAAGCCTTCTGACTGGCAGCTTCAGCCTTTGTTTCTTTTGGTGCCCAGGCTGGCCTGGAGCCCTGCCTCTGCACCTCAGGCTCTTACCTATTCCCACTACACTCACGGTCCTGCCCCAACACACACTTACTCCCTGAACCACAACGCTGCCACATTCCCTCTCCAATTAGGAGCATCTTTGCAATGTGCTAATTCTCCGATTCTTTGCTTTTCTGCGCTCACCGGTGAAGCTGGACTTGGACACCGGTCCCAGCAGCACTGTAAGCCCTTCTGCACCCCAGAGCATGAGCTGCTGCCTTCTCCCTGCCCCCAGTGGGTGAGTTTTGGTTTTCTAAAACCTTCTGCATTTTCTTCTGCATTGACAGGCACAGAATCCACTTCCTCTCCCTCAGATCACCAGAAGAAAAGTGGAGGCTCCCAGCAAATTCACACATAACTACCCCTGCCTTGTGCAGACACCTGTATTTCCAGGCCTCTGGGTGTGATATACACCCATGGCCACTGCAGGAGGCTCGTGCACCCAGCTTCTTTCCTCTAGTCTGCAGAGCCCCACCAGCCTCCAGCCCCACGCTCCCAAGGACCCCCGTGCCCCACATGCCAGGGGACCTTGGCACACGGCTGCAGCAGGGACAATCCCCACCCTTGGGATGAGCTGGGTATCCAGCCCAGAAGCATGTAGAAACCAGCAGGCCCTCTTTTTATCTTCAATATTTACTGTGTCTCAATCTGACTATTACTATTTGATTCGAGTCAAATCAAAGCAGTTAAATTCTTCCCAAGCTTCCCGCTATTAACAAATGATAATAGCCCTTGATGTTGCAGTGAAATTATGGAAACCGCCCACTCCTGTGAGTATCCATCTTCATGATACTCTGGTGTATTTAGGGATCTTCTATTTCACACTGTCACAGGCCTGTCGGAAGTATAAACATGGAAGGGCGACGGCAAATTAAGTCTACATTTTGTTCAGAGAAGATGATGAGTCTGTGGCAAGTGGCGCCTGCTGCAGAGCGGGGCCAGGTCGGCGTCTCCCGGTCTTGGCCCGGCTTCTCCAATTAGCTCTGATGGCATCGGCATCGCTGGTGGTCCTGGAAGATCCATGGCACCTGCTTTTCGGAATGCTTCCACGGACACCACGGCGTGGAGCTGGTTGCCTCTCCCCCCCGCCCCGATGGTGCATCCATCTGTCCACCCTCCACGAGATGCTCAAGAGGCTGCACGCTGCCCTCGTTGGCTTCCCCTGGCAGAGTCCCCATTGGTCCTTCTAGAGGTACTCAAAGTTTTCTGGTTGGTGACCCTCCTCCCCTCGTTTCTTACACTTATCTCACCTTCAGAACTGACGGCAGCCGTGCGGGGCTCTGTGGCTCGGGAGTCTCTGGGGGACTGATGGGAAAGCAAGACCACGGGCCTCACCTGCCAGCTTCAGCCTCCCCGCCTTCCCTGCCTCACGTCCCGCGAAGTAGCCTCACCCTCCAGTCCACAGGGCCCTTCCATGCTCTCTTGTGTCTGTGCACCCGATGCAGTTTCCCACTTACATGGTTCTTTTCTGGACTTTTCTCCACAGCTCCATAATGGTAACTACGCAGCTATTTGTGCAGGTGCTCAGGGCTGCCCGTGGTCTGCAAGCTGTGCAGGGCACACAGGCGAGGGAGGGCTGCATCCAGGCTATGCGCTGGTGTCCCCGGCTTCTGCAAGTGCCTGAGCAGGTGTGCAGTAAATATGTGCCAAGCGGACACTTCGGGCGGGCCCAGGCTTCAGGCTCCGAGTGTGGCTGCGATGTACCCCGACCCCAGGCTTACCAAGCTGCAAACCCATGGGCACCCACCCTTCACATGGCCCGAGGACATGGCTGGGCAGCTGCTTGGTGCCAGAGACATGAGTCCTGCTGACGGCCCGGTGGAAGAGCCCAGGGCATACGTGAAGGACCAAAGCCCACCACAGTAAGAGCTGTTAGAGTGCCCGACAGAGCACCCGGGGAGAGACCAGAGGAATGGAAACGGCCAAGGACGGTTTCACTGTCGGGGCAACACAGAGCAGCGTGTCGGGGGAAGAGCGGGTGTTCTTCATCCAGAGGGAGCGTGTGCACGGGGCCCAGCGCTACAGCAGGCTGCAGAGAGGGGGCCAGGAGGCAGGGAGTGGTTAAGGAGTCTGGAAGTCAGTGTGAGCAACGTGAGCTGGCGGAGACCCTGAGGCAGAAGAGTAACACGACCTATGGGCTTTTCTTTTTGTTTTTTAAGCACTCTCCGGTGGCCACGTGGAAGACAGGTCGCTGGTGGAGACCAGTGCCGGGAGACTGAGCAGGCGTTGCTGCAGCAAGATGAGGGACTGGAGTAGGATCTGGGGGGATCTGCAGGCCTCGCTGGGGCTTCCACCAGACAGACAGGGCGCACTGCTGTGCAGACCACACCGGGACACAGTCTCTTCTGGGAACGCAGATGCCACGGGACATTCAAGGGGGAACCACACAGCTAGTAGCTCAGGTCTCATCATATCCCGCGCTCATCTCTGGGCCCCAGAGCTCACAAGCGTGAAGGAGTGACAGCACCACAGACCAGGGAGGTGGCCTCCTGCACCGGCGGGCCCCAGGGCCGCACGTACCCAGTGGGGCATGGGCTGTTCCTACCTGTGCTAAAATCTTCCTGACTGGTCCAGATGAAATCCAGTGAGTGCTGGCTTTCGCCTCCCATTTTAACTGAAAATCTGCACTTTACCCAGGACAGAGCACAAATTTGAAACTATTCAAATATTTACAAATGTGAAAGACTAAAATCCATTACGGATACAAAATGGTACTAACCCTGAGTGAAAGTATAAGGTACAGTTCCCACTGAACTGCTGTGGAAAATATGTATTCATAGCTTTCTTTTTTTTTTCTTTTTTGAGACAGGGTCTCACTCTGTCAGCTGGGCTAGAGTGCTGTGGTATCAGCCTAGCTCACAGCAACCTCAAACTCCTGGGCTCAAGCGATCCTCCTGCCTCAGCCTCCCGAGTAGGTGGGACTACAGGCATGCGCCACCATGCCCGGCTAATTTTTTCTATATATATTTTTAGTTGTCCAGCTAATTTCTATTTTTTTTTTTTTTTAGTAGAGATGGCATCTCCTCTTGCTCAGGCCGGTCTCAAACTCCTGAGCTCAAACGATCCACCCGCCTTGGCTATATTCATACCTTTCCAAGTAACATTTTTAAAAATAATAAAATTTTTTTGAAAGGAAAACCCTGTGGAATCACTAGTGGAGGAAAATTGTAAAAGAATAAGTGCACAAATGACTTTGCATTTTGAGAACAGCCTGTCCTCGGGAGAACAGAAGAGAGAAGAATATTTTCTCCTTTTACATAAAATCTCTACTTCTCTCTTATTTTAAGCCACTTTATTGAGGTATGACTAACATGCAAAAAGCTGTGCATATTTAATGTATGTAATTTGGTGAGTTTGGAGACAAAGCTACATCCACAAAACCAGCACCGCGATCTATGCCATAAATATATCTGTCACCTCCAAAAGTTTTCTCTGCCCTCTTATTTATTATGATTTATGTGTGTGACAAGAACCCTTAACATAAAGCCTACCCTCTTGGCAAATTTTTAATTATCCATTACAGTTCATTAATCATAGGCCCTAAATGTGGATCTCTAGGACTTATTTCTCGTAACTGAAACTCTGTAAAAGCCAAGGCAAGAACTGCGCCTAGAATCGACTGTCGACTGCTGTGTGCAATCAGCAGGTGGAAACCGCAGCTGGGCGCAGAGCAGCACAGACACCAGCGATAGCTGCTGCAGCCTCCCACACACCTGCCCAAAAGACCAGAGCTCTCCTGAGCGGTGCCTGCCCAGCCCTCCTGGTCCTGGGCTCCCCTCTAAGGAAGGGGGACACCTCAAACACAATGTCAAAACCAGGGCACTGTGTCCTAAGGTAGCCCCTGTCCTAAGGGGGCCCACATTACCCACCGCGGCGTGTGGGAGTTTTAGTTTTATAGGAATTAAGAAACAGCTAATTCTTTTACCCTGGGACGTCACTTTGGGTGATATGCCCTAAATAGGCCAAATGTAACTTGTACAAAAATGTCAATAGCTGCACTGTTCATAAGTACTCAGAATGCTAGTAATGTGCAATAAATACTTGTTGAATGAATGAATAAATAAAAGGCAAAAAAATTATCAGTAATAATAAAATATCTAAGCAAATTACCATTTAGTTATATAATTAATATTTAGTTTGGAGGCATTAAGAATGGCAGGGACATTACTGTTCCTACATAGAAATTTATACATGAAATAATTTTTAAGGAAAAAGGCAGAAAGCAAATAATATGTATATAAAACTGCATAATATTCATGTAAGGTACACCAATAATTATGCAAGAATGTGAGGTTAACAGCACAAATGTACAATGAAGTTGATCATCAGAACTTAAATGAATAAAATGGTGTGAGTGTTCCCACTTCTAGCACATTCTGGGGCAGTACCCTTTATGAATGTTTGCAGAGGACACACAAACCGCAGGGAGGAGACGCAGGACAGGGCTGGCTGACCTGGGGTGGGGTTGGGGGGCTGCCTGGTATAGGACACGTTAAAGGCAGGCTCCTCGATCAGCGGCGGTGGGTACATGCGCCTCCGGATGAAGAAGCCGGCTCCGCAGCAGAAGAGCACGCCCATCATCAGGAGGAACCTGCAGAGAGCACAGACGTGAGGGTGGCTCAGGTAGAGGCCCCGAGGATGTGGCCCCGGGGCTCGAAGACCTGGGGACTCCCCTGGATCCGGGACCAGTGACCCCAGAATGCACCCAGCCGGGGGGTGCACGTGCCGGGACTCGGTCCTCCCTGGACCTCTCACCCAGGCATGTTCCTCCGGTGGGTGACGCCTGGCTGTAGCCTCCTGGGGTGTCCCCAGGGGAGGCCACTAATGGAGAAGCGCTGTGAGCCGTCTCAGATAGCTCCAAATCGCTAGTTCATTTCAAAGGGCTGGTGCAGTCACTGTCCTGGCCACAACTCTGACCTCGACTCAACACTCAGTCCACAGGAGATGCCATCTAAATCGTGTCTGAACACCACGCCGACCCAGCCCTGGCTCACTGTTTCCCCAGATGCCATTCTTCCCTGTCAAAGCACCAAGGGTGAGCACATTCACCCTTCCTCACGCGGTGTCTCCAATATCACGTGAACGTCCATAAAGAAACAAAGCACCCTTCCTGGAGCACCCCTGAATGACGGGGAAACCGCAGCAATAGAGAAAACACAATCAATAAAAAAGCTGCAGGCTTGGAAACCTCAGGTTGTGAGCACGGCTACACATTCTCCCTAGCTGACCCCAGCACCGCTGAGCACTGTAAGGACAGGCCCCTTGTCCAGTTCCTCCGGGAGTTCTCCCTGACTGCCACTCTGTCACACTTGGTGAGCGAGTGCAGAACAAACGAATGCGTGACTGCCTCTGGGTCCCACTGGCACCACACCTTTTGTTTCTAGAACAGGGGGATGGATCTCTGAAAAGGTCCAAAAATAACAGACAAAACAAGGAACAGACAACACTGAGAACTCAGCCCATCTCTGAACTGAAATGACGATGGGATCGACGGAGCCTTCCAGAACCCCACACAACACAGGCCCCTGCGCAGGCAGCCGCTGCCCTGGCATGGCTGAGCACACAGCAGACCTGCTCACGGGCAGTGGCGCCAGGCCACACACTACAGAGATTTGAGCAAAGGGAGACGAGAAAGCCTTTGAGAATATTAACATGAGGTTAAGAGCAAGGCCACTGTCAGGCAATGAATATTTACCGGATAACCTTGGAGCGCTGCGCAGGGAGAAAAATCGGAGGCACAAGACAGGAAGTGACCCAGGAAAGGGTGAGACCGGCCTTTGCGATCTGTCTTCCAGCTCATGATTGTCTCAACAAGTGACTTTAGGGGCCCTGCTGCCCCATCGCCACGCTGGGTGCTGTGGGAGGCGGGTGAGCCCCAACTCCACAGGGCAGGGCGGCAGACGGCGACGGCACACGGCCGCTTGCTCGCATCCCGGGGAGTGCTCAGGAAGAGACGACAGACACAGGAAAGAGCTGTGCGTGGGGGTGGACACACACAACATACAACGTGCCCTTTTCACGTTTGTGAGTGTACGATGCAGCGCACCAAGGTGTTGACAGAGGTATCTGTGGTAGAGAGGAGGACCAGAGGAGCTTCTTTTCCTTCAGTGACAGCTGACCGGGTCCCCAAGGAGGAGAAGAGACACGCTGAGGGGAAGGAGGGGCATTCCGGGCGGAGAGAACAGCACAAGCTAAAGGGCCAGGGCCAGAGAAGCCGGCAGGAGCGGCCCTGAGCGGCGGGGGCACAGAGGCTGCGAGCGGCCAGGGGCCTGGCAAAGCGAGGGGACGCCAGCACTGAGGACGTGCGTCGCACAGGGCGCAGCTTCTACTCTTACAGCGAATTTCCCTCGGGCGGACTTGGTGAAAATCTCATATTCAACACCGAGTCCAGTGGTAAATATCTGAGTAGAAACACGTAAGCACTGAGAGGCCAAACAGGCACAGGGTTCACTTTCTCAGGTAACACTACTGGTCACTCCCAAGAGGTCATCCGCCCGATTCAAAAATGCAGAGGCCACCTGAACTTCTGCCTCCTCCATGAGGTAAGCCAGGTTGTGGGTCCCACTGCCCGGCGGACACTTTTTTCTCCTAAATGGCGCCTCACACCTTAGGACAGACCCCAGGCAGGCACGAGGAGGGCAGAGCAGGGTCACGGGGCTTGGGTGTCACCCACTGTCTGACTCACTCCCTACCGGAAGGTCAGTCCGAGGACTTGCTTTAAAAGAGAGGCACTGACAGAGGCAGGAGAGGTGTGAGAACAAGGCGAGAGAGGGAGCCGGCGTCGGTGGGGAAAGCAGCTGTCCCAGGAAGAGGACAGTCCTCAAAGTGCTGGAGCCGCAGGTCCTTGCTCAAAAAGTGTCCCCTTCGTTTGCCCGACAGACGAAGGGAGGAGGTCTGTGTCATCAGAAGTAACCTGGTGTCTTCAGTTCCGTTTGGTTTTTGGTTCCTCCTCACCACCCCCAGGCCTGAGTGCAGCAGCTCTCACCTCTGCAGCTCCTGCCCAACCATGCCCGTCCCCTGCCCCGTCCCCGTGTGGCCCTACAGCGAGCGGCTCACCCACTCAGGCTGCCACTTGAGGGTGCTGGTGGTCACCCAGTCCTGGTGAGTCCACTCAGAGCTCCCTGGCAAAAGATCACTCAAGATTTTGGAGCTGGCAGGGAACTTTGAAAGCATTCTTCTCCAAAATCCTTGTTTTAAGGTCAGGGGACAGAAGGGCCCAGGCTACAGAGCAGCTGCTCCCTCCTCTCCACATCGCTCTTTTACCACATCCACTCTTCTTACGCCCCTGTCTCTGCAAGGTGCTGTGCCTTTGTCCCAAAGGCCCTCTCTGAAGACCCAGGCAAAAGCTTTGTAGCTTTTCCCAACTTTTCTGGTATCAGAGGTTCTGTGCTCTGGCTTAAAACTATTCAAGTGTAATTATCTGCTTAGACATCTGTCTCTTTGAGGAGTTTGAACGCCACGAGGGCCTCCCCAGGGACCCTTGCAGAACCTGGTGCACATTGGTACTCGATGTTTACTGAGAGGGAACACACGGAACCCCCGTGCCCTCTGTATTTCGGCTGGGGCAGTGCGAGCTCACATCGCAAGGTGTTCTCTGGCCCCAGTTTGGAGCCTCATGTCAGAATCTCAACTCTAATAATGCGATCAAATCTTCTGGAACTCTCACCCTGCAAAAGCCTGATCTCGCTGGACGGGACTCACCATGGTGTCTCTGCATGGGCTCCGGCCAGCCCTCGTGTGCTGCTGCGTGGAGGTGCCCTGCCTCTGACGCGGACCCTGGCTGACAGCTCCAAAGCACCTGGCTGCCAGTTCAGAAAAAGCTTCCTGAGAAGCCCAAGGAAGGTGCCAGGCCCTAACAGGCCTCTGGACTCTCTCAATTGTTTTTCCTTTCTGGTCATGTGATGTCTGAACTTCGACAAGACTGTCTCAGTTTTAGGAGCATTCCCACAACCTCATCATCATCACTCACCTGGAGCTTCAGACCAACCCGGCGTTCCTGCAAACCTTTCGGGATCCCGGCTTTCCTATCCCAGACAGTCTGCCCCTTTCCTGCCCTGGGCCCCAGGGAGGAGCAAGCGGGGAGAGCCTGCGGTGACACCCGGCCTCCTCTGCCCCACTTGGGTTCTGGTCCCCTTCCCCTTGAGATGTACACAGAGGCGTTTAGCTTTGGAAAATCTTAGGCTAAAAAACTCTCATATCCTATCATAGAGCTGTAGGCGCCAGCAACCATGAGGTGGGGAGGAGCTGGGCACCACACCCTGTCCAGGGGGTGCACCTGCAGGGCCACCTGAGCCGGTCCTGAGGGAGGCCTGGCCGGCAGCTGAGGTGACAGGGGAGGCCCAGCCCCAAAATGCCCAAAAACCTATCGAGGAGGTGGTGATGGTGATGACAAAGGAAGGCACTACCACTAAAGAGCACGCAGGCCGTGCGACACTGAGTCCCTACTCCCCACTGTCTTCCCTAATCAAACCCTGGGCACAGCTGTCAACAGGAAAAGACAAAACTTCACCAAAAAGCTCAAGTGGCTGCTATAACAGGCTCAGTAAGGTCTTAATGTCTTAAAAAGTCAGTAAAGACAGAATCTTAAAGTCGCAAAGACAGCAAAGTCTTAAGCCTCTGTGGAGTGTATCTGAGGGCACCACCGCCGCAGGGAGAGGATACTTTCTCACGTGTGTTCTGCCGCACCTGACCTCTAAAGCAACCCCGTTCTCTACCCAGAGACACCCCCGACAGCATCCTCTGAGGACCGCCAGCCACACAAGGCTCCCCCTTCAACGGAGTAAGATACCCTCTGCGGGCACTGCTCCTTGCCCTTCTCGAGCGCAGTCTGATACACTCCAGACCGCTCTGCGTGCTTCCCTCACGGGAGCGGGAGGGACAAGGACACAGGCTGCCTGTCTGGTGAGCGAAGACTCAGCCAACACAGGAGAATGGGGCATCTCCAGTCTCAATTTGCTGATTCTTCACGACAAACAGCCGCGACTGCATCTCAGAAACTGGCTAAGGGCCCGCTGCTGTCATCCAGCCGGAAGCCTGCAGAAATGGAAAGCGCGTTCTGCGAACTCCGTAGGCACAAGTGCCTGCCATGATGCCAACTAAACAGACCTGTTTTCTTGACCAAGGCTGTCCCCAAGGCCATAGCCAAGGTGAAGGTGATGCAGCTGAGGATGCAGCAGTGCTGACAGGGCAGAGCTCTCAGGGTGGGGAGTGGTGGGGAAGGGCCCCCAGCAGCGAGGAGAGAGTGCGACCTACCAGAAATACCACAGCCTCTGTATGGAGAGGGCCCGCACGCAGCAGCGGGAGCCGCAGCAGTCCTCGTAGGAGCGGCATCTGCGGAGAGAGGGCACAGGCTGGTCACCGCTGAGTCGGAAGGAGCCGCCAGACCAGTCATGTGTCCAGCCCGGGTTTCAACGTAATCATTCTCAGAAGGAAAAAATAAGAGTAAAAAGGTCAGAACTGCCTCCACCGTGTTTCACAAAACCAGCAGAGCTGACTGTTGTCAGGCTCGGGCCCAGACGCGAGGTGCCAAGATGCATATGGTCACAGAAACCCAAAGCACTGTGGTTCCCAAACGCCCCGTGTGCCAAATCCCCACCGGTTCCCCTGGGGAGGCGCCACGACCAAAGATGGACATTATCCCGCCAGCTCTGCCGAGCTCCGCGGAGGCCCGGCCCGACAGGGCCCTGAGGGAAACTTAAGAGCAGAGGTTGTGCAGTCAGACATCTCAGGAGGTTTGCTCCTGGCCCTGCCGCTCACTAGCTGTGGGGCCTCCGGCAAGTCACTCACCCTCTGCAATGGCAGGGGCCCTTCCTGCGCCCACGCCCACCCCGCCCACATGCCCCAGGCAGGGCAGGCTCCCGTGGACACGCTCAGGGGCTGCTCCTCACCCACACCGAGCTGCTCAGACGACAAGCTCAGCTGCCTGGGCGGTTCTGCCCTTCCCAAACCTGTGCTCTCCTTGGAAAGCACAGACCCTGCTCTGCACTCTGCTGCTGACAGACACGCCCTCACTGAGCAGCCTGAGGCTGGGCAGCAGGGACTGGCGGGGGGACGGTTTCTCAGTAGCATTAAATGATCACCTAACTGTCTTCGATCTAGGTTCCTGCCAATTTTGTGTTTCTTTTAAAAAAAAAAGTAGTTGGAAGAAATACACAATTCAATCTTGGGCACTGAATTTTAGAGGATCGCAGTACAAATCAGCTTAGTTTATGCAAAAATATGTGTAGAAAATATTAGTTAAGGTACAAAGTGGTGAGAACAGTGGCCTGGAACTCGGCAGACCCCAGTTCGGAAACTGCTTCTCCTGGTTGTGCAATCTGGCAGGGCACCCTGCAGGAGGGTGGCAGTGAGACTGTCGAACAGGCTGCTCGGGGTGACTCGTGGAGAAGGGGTACCTGAGCAGAGGCCACACAGAAGTCCAGCCTGGCAAGAACAAGGGCCTCCACACTCAGGGTGTGGGGAGCGCTAGCCTGTCCGCTCACACGTGCGGAGGGAACGAAACGGCCCGCGTGGGGCTGCTGGAGCTGCGCCGGGCAGCCTGTGCGTGCACACGTGTGCGGAGGGCGGGCAGCAGTCAGGGAGATAAAGGGATTCTTGCTCTGAGGGTCAAGAGTAGGGGGATTGTATGTGTGTGTGTGCAGGTAAGGGAGTTGTATGTGTGTAGGTGAGTAGGAGGTTGTATGTGTGTGTGTGTAGGTGAGTAGGGGGTTGTGTGTATGTGTGTGGGTCAGTAGGGGGTTGTGTGTATGTGTAGGTGAGTAGGGGGTTGTGTGTGTGTGTGGGTCAGTAGGGGGTTGTGTGT